AATTTTCATGGTTTAATCCTTAGTCCAACTTTATAAACAGTGTAAAATATATATGCAAAACACAAACATATACATTAAATAAAAACTTACTTTTTATTATTTTATAAAGGCAAGTAACACCAAAGGGCTGCTTTCCATGCTTACCCTTCAAATTAAAATCACTCATCGGATGTTATTCATTAGCCTTTTAACAAATTATGTCAATATAACTATACATATTTTATTTATTTCATGCTATAAAATATGTTCGGGATGATCCCAGAAAAATTAGATAGTTTTTAAATAAAAGAAACAAATTCTTTTATAAAAAAAGTCCTTCACTTGCTAACATTTTTTGTAGTTGTGGACAGTGGATAGTTGTGGGCACTGTGGATAGTTGTGGGCACTGTGGAGTTTGCTTGGTATTCTGTTTTAGTAAAAATTTAGTGTGGAGGCGGGATAGATGCATACACCATTTTGAGGGAATTAAATAATTAATGTATTAAGACATACACTATATATTTTACTTTTATTGAAATTATCATAAAGTATTTAAGACAATAAAAAATATACATTTGACAGTTTCAAAATATATTTATTTGACTAATTATAGTAAAAACAATTATTATACCTATTTAAAACGTTTGCAATATTTTCTTTTTTACATTCACACCACCAACTTTAGCAATTCTTCTAACATAATATATATACATACATATATATTCATACAAATACATACATACATACATATATATATACATATATATATATATATACATATATATATATATATATATATATATATATATATATATATATATATATATATATATATATATATATATATATATATATATATATATTTATAAATATATATATATATATATATATATATTTATAAATATATATATATATATATATATATATATAAATATATATATATATATATAAATATATATATATATATATATATATATATATATATATATATATATATATACAAATATATATATATATATAAATATATATATATATATATATATATATATATATACATATATTTACAGGGTGACAACTATAAGGTGAAACACATAAAGTAAGCTATATTTTCAAATTTAAGAGTTATATTTATTCGAAAGTGGTATCAATAGAAAGGTACAAGTGTATTTAACAAGTTTTATTGGTTTAATTCGAACCTGTCGCCCTCTGCTTTTATGCAGGCTCGACATCTCTTGAAAAAGTTTCACACGCAGCACGCATGGTTTCTTGTGGCATTTTGTCCCAAATGTCGTTCAAAAGTTCCTTGAATTGGTCCAAAGTTGTTAATTTATGCTTCCCTTGTTCTTGATGCATGTATCCCCAGACAAAGAAATCAAGGGAATTGAGGTCAGGACTCGAAGCAGGCCATTCTTTGGTATCGATAAAATCTGGGAAATTTTGCTTGTAGTAATCTTGAACAACAATAGCCTTGTGTGCAGAGGCAGAATATTGCTGGAACACCCATGGATCATCACCATACATTTCTTTAGCCTTAGGTTCAATCAAATCTTTGATCACATTTTGTAAGTAGTATTCTTTGTTGATTTTCACCCCTCTATCGATAAATTTCAGAGAAAATTTCCCCTTTTTCGAGATAGCCCCGAATACCATGACCGCCGAAGCGTTCTGATAACGAGGGACAGTTCTAACGTTTAAAGAAACATCAGAGAGCTTTACAGCATAAAGTCTGTCACTTTGTCTGTTCAACGGGCGCTCCAAAGTAAACATTTTCTCGTCCGAAAAAACAATATCTGCACCACCGTGCCGCTTCAATAGCGATTTGCAACGCTTGACTCTTTCCACCTTGTTTTTGTCAGTGAGGCCGGCAAATTTTTGCTTTCGGTAGCACTTAAGTCTTAAATCTTGTTTTATAACCTTTTGCATAGAGGTATATGAAAGGTTCAGCTCTTTAGCTAGCTGCCGACCTGAGCGAGCAGGATTTCTTCGTAAATGTTCTCTTACCACTTTGATGATTGCTGGAGTGGGCTTGACGCGATTTCTTTTTCTAGTTTTAGCTGGAATTGTTTGCCCAGTAGTTTTGTAACGAGAAATTGTTCGACTAATCAATGATTTGCTGACTTTTATATCATTTAGGCATCTCCAAATATCAGCTTGACTAAAGTTATTTTGCGTAATGAAATTATCAGCTCCCTAATAGGATTTAGATCTGTATTTTTCATACAATCCCTCATTTTTTCTTCCTCAAATTTTTAAAACTTTTTCTAAACAAATGTCAAAACAAACTGTAAACAAGGGGAAAGTCATATGGTACAGGGTTAATAAATGATTAGGGTTCGAAAATGTGTTTCACCTTATGGTTGTCTCCCTGTACATATGCATATATATGCATATGTATATATATGCATATACATATATATGCATATACATATATATACATATATATATACATATACACAAATATATGCATATATACATATACATATATATATACATATATATATACATATACATATATACATATATATCTATATATAATATATATGTATATATATTATTTTTTAAACGATATAATATAATATAAACGGTATAATTTTTTAAACGTACAAACTATATTTGTATTTCATCTGATGATTGCAATAGTATGAAACTTAAAGTTGTGAAAATCACGTAGTTTTATTTTCTACTATATATATATATATATATATATATATATATATATATATATATATATATATATATATATATATATATATATATATATATATATATATATATATATATATATATATATTACTAAGTTTAATACATAATATATAATACATAATATATACCCTAACCCTAACCCTGATGAAAAATGTATTAAACTTAGTGAACTTTGTGTGGAAGATTCCACCAAATGGAAAACTTTGTTGTAAATAAAACAATAACTAACAATTTTTTGTTTAAACTCAATGTCAAATAATTCTTCCTCTAAAGCTTGAAACTCTGGCTTATTTTGGCGCTGAATCAATTCTACATATAACTCTAATATGGCACGCGCTTCTGATTTTTGGAAATTTTTTTAAAAGAAAGACAACTTTTTTCTGGAACCCTGAAGGCAAAGAAAAAAATTATTTTATATTTATTTACAAATCAATAAGAAAAAGATGTAACAAAAATTACAAATTAATGAATTAACTTACCTTTTTCTGACATTGAATACTCCTTTCTGCTACCTACACTTGACATTGCCAGATCAGCTGAAGAAGAAAATGATCCACTGCAATTTGGTGGTGACTTGGAACGCCTCTTTTTACTTTGCAAACCAGAAGTTCCTGATATATTCTTTGAGTGTGTTGATTTTTGGAACCCTAATGATAAAATAAATATATAATATATAATCAAATATGAGAATCGATAAATGATAAATGTAAAATAATTAATTAGAATTAAGTTAACTTTTCTGACACAGAGTATTATCTCTACTCGACAAAATCATATCAGGTGGAGATGGTGGTGAACATAAGTCTTTCTTATTATGTTCATTTTGTATAATTATCCTTTTTGTATGTGACCGTTTTTTTTTAAAGGTGGCGGGAAAGGAGTTTTTACAACAGACCTTTTTTCTACAATAAAATAAAGTAAAATATGATTTTTAGCAGATATGTAAAATGCTTTTTGAAATATATGAATCCATTATTTACCTTAATGTCTGGAAAATTCTTGAACATCATCAGTTATTTCAGCTTCATCTGAATTTAAATCAGTAGTGAACTCATATTCTTCACAAAGAATTTTATCATCTATACAGATTTTTAAACACAACAACAATTTTCTTCCACTATATTCGAATCTCAATTTCAAACAAAATACTTATATCCATAAGTCTTTTCTTCATAAATTAAGTAATTTAATTTAATTAGCTCTAAAATGGAAAGATGAAGTATTTAACCAAAAAATAAATAAATAAGCAAGTCTACCTGATGAAAATTTAATTTTTAACAACTTTAATTTTAGCCAATCATTTGTTGGTTGGTCTCTCTTATAAAAGACTTTCATAACATTTACGCCTGAAGGCGACCATACAAAATCACCAACTACCCAAGCGCTCCGTATTACTCCCTCTTCCTTGGTACTTCCCTCTAACCAAACTGCATGCATCCATTTTTTGCAGTTCTGGAAAAAAATTATAAAGTTTACATAGAATCAAAAAAAAAAGAAAAAAGAGTTTGAACATTTTAAACTATAAACTGTTGATAAATTAATTATTATTTTGAGCTGGGTACCAGAGATAAACCATAGTGCTATTACTGTTCAGCATCATGCAGCATTGGGAATAGAGCATAACCTCCTTTGCATGGAAGTAATACAACTTTTCTCTCCAAAATTCTTCTCATTGTTCTAGTAAAACTATGAACAACACCAATCTGAAATATTTTGGATTCTGCTGGTGAGGTAAATATATTATCTATATCACGAATTTTCACCACATCACATACATATTTTCAACAATTTTTCATTTGTCTAATAAAAACAGTGTATTTGTTTGTTAACAGGAAACAATTATCCTTTGATCTAGTTGAGATTGTAGTAAAAAACCAATGTTTAAAATAGCATTTATCTTTTGTTATATCAAATTCTGCTAGCCTATTTGTCACTTGCACAACAGGATTGCTAGCTTTTCTAACATAACCTTTGAGTTTTTGCGTGTAGTTTTCTAATTTAATACATGATACATCATTGAGAGAACTATTGAAGTTGCTAACATCTTCATTCAAATGAATGAGCCCACGAACATTGTAAACAACAAATGTATCTCCATATATTAAAGAAGCATTACTAACAAAATAATTTAACGACTTCTTACTGTAATCAAGATGCTTTGATCTTCTTTTGTCATTTGAATTCAACATTATAATTATTCCAATGCTCAGATAAAGAAAATGCTTATAAATGGATGGTGATATGCAGCTTTTTATCTATCCGTTTCTAACAATGTCCTAAGTTGGCGAGCAAACTCTTTTGGTAGAAGCGCACGTAACTCAGTTAGTTTTTTTAGACATCTGCGATATTTGCCCAAATGGTAGTTTACTATGTCGAGGACCACTTTTAAAAAACTTTATTATGCATTTCACAACCCCCAAGCATACCAAACACATGTAGTCAAGAGAAAAATCTGTTACACAGTTTACGCCACAATCTATCAAAGGTGTTGAGGCTTTCTGATGATTCGGATAACCAATAGCAGAAAATTTCAAATTTGTCCGAATCTCGTGAATAGCATTAGAATTAAAAACAACTCTCCCACTCCAAGATCCTTTTATCACGCATCTTTCGCATGAATGGTATGTCGAATGACTTACAATTGACTTAAGGAATGCTCTGGCAGGAAAATCATATGCAAAACATTTTAAATTAACTTTTATTTTTCTATCGTTAAAATTAATTCCATTTTGTAAAAGATTAATAACTTCCATTTTAAAATCTTGCAAAAAGTCATTTAAAGATGTCGTCTTTGAGCTTCCACAAAAAAGTGCCACAATAAATGCATCATACTTATTAAATTTAGCTAAAATAGGCTACTTCTGTAAAATAGGCTACTTCTAAAACAGGCTATTTCTGTATCTTTGAAGACTTAAAAAGGGGAAGACCATCAATGTTAATTATTAAATCAATGTCTTTATTTTGGTTTAAAAAAAAAATGTTGTTAAAAATTGTTTCCATAATTCCACTTTCAATTCTAAAGTAAGCATATATACCACCACATTTCTCAACCCATGATATAGACTTTGGAGTTTGAAGTAGGGTGCGACAATCTTTGGGAAGAGTAGAGTGATCATTTTGTCTTAAAATATTCAAAATTTCATTAACACAGTCTTGCCTACATTTGTTTCTAGTAGCCCATGATGCAAGCTGTTCACTCAAAGAAGGTAGACTACTATTTTCTTCATCAATGTCAGAAATCGATTCTGAAGAACTAGAATACAATCTGAGTGAATCACTTCTAAATGATATGATAGATACAGAATCTTCATTCTCCTCTTTTTCAAGACGTGTATCAGATAAAAACAGTCTATCTTCCTGACTACAACAACTATTCGAACTGCTTGTATCTGTTGTGAAATGGTTAACCTCTGCTGTTATTTTTCTCCATTGAATAATATACTTTTCCTATATACAAAACAACATATTACCATATATATATATATATATATATATAATATATATATATATATATATATATATATATATGACAAAGGTGTCTATCAATCTCTAAATCAATCTCTAATTAAAACAAAGTCAAGGTAGACAACTAATTTGTTAAACTTACAATTCATTATTTCACTGGACATTATTTAGAGGAAAGTTTTTAACAGTTAAATCCAAACCTAACAACCAAAAATGACAAAAAACAATATTAATAATTTAAAATTTGTGAATAATGAAAATAATAACAACAATAACAATACTAATAATAATAACAATAAGAATAATACTATTATTATTATCAATAATGTATATAACATACATATATAATATATGTATACAAATATGCATATTATGTATATATATATGTATATATATATATATATATATATATATATATATATATATATATATATATATATATACATATATATATATATATATATATATATATATATATATATATACATATATATATATCTATATATATATATATATATATATATATATATATATATATATATATATATATGTATATATATATTTATATATAAATTTGTTTAAACTAATTTATTATTGCTCTGTTCTATTAACATTTTAAGATATTGAGCACTCTATTTTGTAGAATACATTTAAAATTGTTTATATATATATATATATATATATATATATATATATATATATATATATATATATATATATATATATATATATATATATATATAACAATAACAATATATTCTAAATATAACGTTTTTACATTTAATGGAAATTTACTAATAGTACGAGTACTAATCGACGATAAACACCAATTAAATAATAATAACAATTATATAATAAAATTAAAGTAAATATAACGAGGACAATTATAATAACATTATTAACAGTAATAATAATGATATATAAAAGTAATATTAAATAATGATAGTAATAAAAATGTATATATATATATATATGTATATATGTATATAAAATATATATATATATATATATGACAAAGGTGTCTATCAATCTCTAAATCAATCTCTAATTAAAACAAAGTCAAGGTAGACAACTAATTTGTTAAACTTACAATTCATTATTTCACTGGACATTATTTAGAGGAAAGTTTTTAACAATTAAAACCAAACCTAACAACCAAAAATGACAAAAAACAATATTAATAATTTAAAATTTGTGAATAATGAAAATAATAACAACAATAACAATACTAATAATAATAACAATAAGAATAATACTATTATTATTATCAATAATGTATATAACATACATATATAATATATGTATACAAATATGCATATATATGTATATATATGTATATATATATATATATATATATATATATATATATATATATATATATATATATATATATATATATATATATATACATATATATATATATATATATATATATATATATATATATATATATATTATATATATATATATATATATATATATATGTATATATATATTTATATATAAATTTGTTTAAACTAATTTATTCTTGCTCTGTTCTATTAACATTTTAAGATATTGAGCACTCTATTTTGTAGAATACATTTTAAAATTGTTTATATATATATATATATATATATATATATATATATATATATATATATATATATATATATATATATATATATATATAACAATAACAATATATTCTAAAATAAACGTTTTTACATTTAATGGAAATATACTAATAGTACGAGTACTAATCGACGATAAACACCAATTAAATAATAATAACAATTATATAATAAAATTAAAGTAAATATAACGAGGACAATTATAATAACATTATTAACAGTAATAATAATGATATATAAAAGTAATATTAAATAATGATAGTAATAAAAATGTAAATAAAATGAACATCAGATATAATAATACTAAGATAAATATATATAAATATATAATAATATTAATATATATATATATATATATATATATATATATAACAATAATATAGCAGTAGCAATAACAATCTGTGGTGAGCCTAACATTTTAGTTAAAATACTTTCTATTAAATAGTCAAAAAGGCAGTTTTTAAATTGTGAAATTGAGTTGAGGGATTAAAGATGAAGAGGTAAATTATTCCATGATTTTATTCATTGGTTTGTGATAGAATTATCACTCTATTTTACTCAGCAACGATTTAGGATATATATATATATATATATATATATAATATATATATTTATATATATATATATATATATATATATATATATATATATATATATATATATATATATGTATATATATATATATATATATATATATATATATATATATATATAAAGTATAAATATAACATATATATATATATATATATATATATATATATATATATATATATATATATATATATATATATATATATATATTAAAAAATACATTTTATATATATAACGTGTGAACGTCACCTCCATGTCTTTTTACTTATTGCTACTTCAATTCTTTGAACTACCATCTTTTTTTAAACTACTTACATTTATATATGTAAAATAGTCAGTTATTAATTTTTTTAATTATTTTTTACAGACTGCGATAAATTTTGACGGTTTCATTGTAAAAAATTTTATTTTTCAACATGAGTTACTCGTTTATACAAAAATGCAATTGTTACTTTTTGTATAGACTAACACGTTCAACATTAAACATTCAAAACGAAACCGACAAAATTTATCGCGTGGTTTATGTATGTGAAAAAAAAACTTTGGTCAAATAAAATACGCAAATAATCGCGTTTGAGGTTCAACATGAATTTAATAACCTAATAATAACGCAGAAAACAGGTAGAATATTGGTCATAATGTTAACGACAATATTTGGTTATGAATCGACTTTTAAATGTGGTTCAAATTCGGTCTAATGTGTAACGTCTAAACGTGGGTCTTGTAAATTACGTTAATAACTGATGGAAAAACGGTCATAACAATAACGTTAATAGTTGGTTGATTTTTGACGTTTAAAATATGTTAAAACAACGTTTAAAATTTATTGTGAGTATAATGACGTAATAATAACCTAGAAAACAGGTAGAATATTGGTCATAAAATTAACGACGATATTTAGTCATTTATCGACGTTCATATAAGGTTCAAATCAGGTTAATTAATCAATGTCTGTATTTTAACGTCAAAAACACGTCGATTTTTAGTAAAAAGAAAGACGTCGAAAAAATCGACCTTATTTTAACGTCGAAACAACGAAAAATGTTTGCTGGGTATAAGTCTTGTGACCAAAATTTTTGATAATATCATATTATGATGCATTATAAAATGCACACGTTTATCGTATTCTAGCTATTGCAAGTATATCTAGTTGTTTATATCTGTATGTTTAGGTTGAATCATATTAAATGGAATCTATTTTAAAAAACATATTATTTATAATCTTTTGACTATAGAAAAATAAAAGAATGCAAAAAGTATTATTTACTAAAGTTACAAATCAATATAACTCTATGAGTTACGACAGCATATTTAAACGCGCATTTGTAAAACCCATGGTGAAACATGAGCTATAAAAAAATTTATGACTAACCCATAGAAGTTTTATATGATTTCAATTTTATGAAAATTCCCGTATAGAAAATTCCATGGAAATTCAGTTTCTACGAGAAGAAACCATGGTTTACACATTAAATTCCAAGGTATTTCCATGGAGTTCTACGAAACGCTCATGAAATTACATTTAAAAATGTACTTGCATAACGATGGCTTTGCGCTAAATCGGTCTATCTGCAATCTCCGAAAAATATATTTTTGGTCTATTTGCAATATCCTCGAAAGTTATTTTTGGCCTATCTGCAATCTCCGCAAAAAACATTTTTGGTCTATCTGCAATCTCCGCGGAAAACATTTTTGGTCTATGTGCTTTCTTCGGGCAATCAAATTTTATAACTAATGTTTTTTTGCGCCCTAAAGAAATTCAGTTTTTTTATTTCAAAAAAATAACAAAACATTGTATCAAACAATAAGAGCAATACGTTTCATTTGTTCATGTTATGTAAATTATTAATATGTTATAGACATTTGTATCAACGGTCTTTTAAAATGCAGTTTAATGTGCATCGTTTAAATTTGTTTTAGCAGTACTACTGCCAGTGTACAGTACATGGTTTACCACAATACTGTTTACACATTTTTTAAACAGTTATACTTTATGTAACTGTTGATTTATAAAAAATGCTTTAAAAACTTCATTTTACTACTTTCAAGTAAAAACTGTCTGCAACTACTTTATTCTCAAAACAAATTTAAACCAAGTTAGTAGGGATAAACAAAGCATCTATTATCTAATGTGTAACTTATCAGATAAGCAATAGGGTGTTAAATTTGAATCCTAATAAATTAAAAAACCTGGATTAGCTTATGTTGTACCATTCTCCACCACTTACTCGAAGAAGCAAAAGTGTATGAACATTGTTTGTTGTCGTGGAAGTTAGCGCTTTAATACCAGAATAAAACTAATATTGCTACTGTGGTAGTAGTAGTAACTCGTGACAAATAATAAAAATGATGTTGTTTGGTTAAATATAAAACTGACTACTGGGTTATTATAGGAAATTCAATAAAATTTTGTCATAAAAATATATTATCAATAAAGTAATGATGTTGCAGTCGAATTAATATATAAATAGGGAAATATGTACATGCACACACATATGCACATACATACATACATATATATATATATATATATATATATATATATATATATATATATATATATATATATATATATATATATATATATATATATATATATATATATATATATATATTACATGAATGACTGTAAGTTGTTATGTTCAAAGTTTTATTTAAAATAACACGTTACAGAATTATTATATCATAGTTTATAATTTTTGTTACTGAGCCAACCTCAGTTGTCAAGAGTTTAAGTTTTATAAAAGTTCAAAAAACTGATTTTATAGTTACTTAGCACAAACTGGTATAAACCCATGCCAAAGTAGTTAACTTTTTTGAAAGCAGTTTTTTCCAAATTTGGTTTAGTTTATTTATATATAGTTAAAAGCTTCTGACCATTGTTTGAAAATCTCTTCTCAACAATCATAAAAATATTAAACTATATAAAAAAAAGATTTTATTTTCTATAAAATATTATAAATAATAACAATATATTTTCAAAAAGAAAGCATTCACAAATGATAACAATAAAACATTTTTAAAATAAATGTTTTACTTGCACATGATATATATATAAATATATATATATATATATATATATATATATATATATATATATATATATATATATATATATATAAATATATATATATATATATATATATATATATATATATATATATATATATATATATATATATATATATATATATATATATATATATATATATATATATATTATATATTATAATTTTATAACATAAAATCTTTCACATTTTCATATTTTTTTTGTTTCTTTATTATGTTAAATAGGTTTTATTATTTTCAAAGAGCTTTTTGAATGTTAAGATATGCTGTAAAAATGTAAAATTTCGAGAATGTTGTCATTTCATTAATATGTGCAAAATAACAATTTTCAAAAGTGATTAATTAATTTTTCAAAAGTAATAGGATAATTTGATTTTTTTTTTTTTTGGAATCCAGGAGTCATAAGCTTTCACAGGCATATTGTGGTTTCTTTGGAATTTGAATTGACACTTTAGGAGAATTGTGCAAAGTAAAATTCTTATAAATATATAAATTTTTATTGGGAATGAATGAAATTAAAATAATTTTATTGCATATATCGGTAGACTTTTTCATTATCTTTACACCTCTATTTAAATTAATATGCTGAAAACAGCAGTTGCAAAGTAATTATAATAAACTCAAAATAGGAATTATAACATAAATTTCTGTCAGCATTAGTTTGAGTCTAATGTTTACTTAACATCCAACTTTTTTTAAATCCAAACTAATCGGTTTTACATGCAGCTATAAATAAGATATTAAGTTGGAAATTTAAGTTTAAAAAAATTAAAACTT